TACAGCACTGGCAGAAAAAAAGAAGAAGGATAGCAACGTATATAAAGGAAAAAATAAACTCCAAAGCAGTTTACTCAGATGAAGAAGGCAGGATGCTAATGACTGAATTAGAGAAACAGAAAAAACAATATTATTAATAGTCATATATGCACCAAATCAGAAACAAGAGGAATTCTATAGGAAATTACACAACAAAATAAACAAATTAGAATATAATCCCCAAATATTTGCTTAATTGGGGATTATAATGCAATAGTGGATAAAAATGGACTATGAACGCAAAAAGAAAAAGAAAACAAAAAAATACATTACCCAAATCCTTTTTTGAGATGGCAACGGAACATAAACTACATGACATTTGGAGAGAAAGGCACAAAATAAGAAAGCAATATACCTTTTATTCGAACCCCCACCAGTCCCTATCAAGAATTGACATGGCTTGGATTTCATCTGGTCTATGTAATCAATTAGATGAAATTGAAAAAGAAGCAAATGAGTGGGCAGATCATAATCCAGTAAAATTAAGATGGAAAGGTCAAAGAAGAAGAAAAAGATAGATGATGAATTCAAATATTATAAATGAAATAGAATACACTCAAATGCTGGAGAAAGAATTAAAACTATTTTTTAGAATAAATAAAAAAGAAGACACCTCAATTCAAAATCTCTGGGACACTATGGAAGCATACACAAGAGGCCTTACGATTGCCTACATGGCGAGAAAAACTAGAAAACAAAAAGAGCAACAAAAATTTACGCAAAAATAATTTATGGAAGCCGAAGATGAACTATAGAAAGACCCAAAGAATAAAATTATAAAGAAAAAAGAGAGATGATAAAACATAAGATCAACTTAATAACTCAAAAGGAATTAGCACAGAAAATTAAAGCAGCCAGATAAAATTATTTTGAACAAGCCAATAAACCTGGACGATAGCTGGCATACAGATTGAAGAATGAAAGAGAAAAAAAGGATGATATATCAATTAAAAGATGATGAGGGAAGAATTCAATACAAAGTTGAAGAAAAGAAGCATATTATTCATAAATACTTCACAAAACTATACGTGAAAGATAGTATGGAAGAAATCAAAATAAAGCATTATTTAAACACAGAAAAGATAACACCAATCTCAAAAGAATAAGAGGGGGGGAATAAACAGGCCAATAATGTTAGCTGGAATTAGTCCTGAAAAACCAGAAAAATAATAAAACCCCAGGACCAGACGGAATACCGGTGGAGCCAAACAAATATAATAAAATAATATTGGAAGAGCTAGGAGTGGAAATGTTTAACAAAGTTTTAGGAAAAGCCAAGACACCTGAATCATGGACAAAAGCAATAGTATCGCTAATCCCAAAAGAAGAAACCAACCTCCAAGAAATTCAAAATTACAGGCCAATTTCATTACTAAACTCGATTATAAAATATTTGCATCAATTATGGCAGGAAGAATTAAGCAGGTTTTAAATGAACGAATACATTCGGACCAAAACGGATTTTTACCTCACAGAAACATTAAAAATAATGCGTGAGTCATCCTAGACATAATAGAGTATTACAAGGTGCATCCAGAAAAACAAATGGTACTGGTTTTCCTTGATGCACAAAAAGCATTTGACAACGTAATCTGGAAATTTATAATAACACTATTGGACGAGATGAAATTCAGAGAAAAATTTATAAAAATGATATAAGGATTTTACAACAGTCAGACAGCCAAAGTTATGATGAATGGAGATCTAACAGAGAAGATTGAAATAAAAAAAGGAGTCAGACAGGGATGCCCCCTCTCTCCTTTGCTGTTTATATCAACTTAGGAAAATTTATTAAATGAAATTTGGAAGGACCAGG